TTGTTTAATCCAATTTCCTTTATTCTTAGCTACACGAGAAATTAGCATAAAAAGCCAGAATAACAAAAATTGAACTTTTAGTAATAAACAGATATTTCTGGTTCCAATTTGGCCATTTTTTGCTCATTTAATCATATAAGTCCGTATCACTTTTTAGCTTTCTTCAAGAATGGGGTAACATTTCTCTTTAATTAACCTTCTTAATTGTTGTTTGTTTGTTTGTAGTTAAGCACAAAGCTACATAACTGACTATATGTGCTCTGCACACCACGGGTATCGAAACCTGGTTTTTATCGTTGTAAGTCCACAGACATACCGTTGTCTTAATTATTGATAATATAGTATGTCAAGGTTGTCTTGGAACAAACTTAACTTCGGTTCATACGTTATATATACAGGGTGTGACAAAAGTAGGTATACAGTGAGTTCTTTTTATATTTACTCACAAGACATACAGAGGCTATTGTAGGACATGTTCAAACTTGTGGCTGTCACAGTTGACACATTTCTTGAAACTGTCCGTGACACTTCTGCACACTTTCTGACACAATTCCTTATTTTCATCAATCTCGTTCAATGCATCTGCAGTACCGAATTTCTATGCCCATTTACTTTTCACCATCTTAGCATTTTCACTTTTCCAATGCGTCTGTAATGGCCATTTTCATCACTCAAAAGTCAGGTTCTCTGCCATTATCCCCTACCTGTAAATACAAACATAAAATAACATTATTACTGTATATCTACTTTTGCCACACCCTGTGTATAACACAAGTTATATTACTGATTGTCCATCAGTTACTCGAATCAAATTAAAGGAAGACATTTAAATTATCATAGAAAGTACGAACGGATGTTCGTCGTGACTTGTGTTTTATTTCATTAAATTGTATAAATAAACTAATTTGAATTAATTATTGTGAATGTCAGAAATACAAAACTTCAGCTCAATATGAAAATGTTGTAGAAAAATGTAAAAAAAAACAAATTTAATGTCTTTTTGCCATCTTTATCATTTTTACTAGTTTATAATACTGACAACTGAACTTTGTTGTTGTTGTTGATGATGATTAATTATTAGATAATATCAGGTCTTTTCAGCATTAATAAATATCACTGAATCATACTGACCATACAATAAAATAGGAACTACGGTTACTAAGGGACTTCACATAGTTTAGGTTTTTGCACTAAGGTTACAAAGGAAATTCTCATAGTTTAGG